CGGCCCATGCCACCAACTTGGGGCACCCCTCCACGATGCTAAAGTTGGCCAATGTCTCCAAACCATAGACCCAGCTATTGAACGGTATCAGCGACACATCCACATAGCCAAACCTCTCGCCGCCAAAGTAAGCCTTGTCCCCGAGCTCTCCCTCCAACACCTTCAAGCACTCAACATACTCCTTCTTCGCCGCCTCCTAGGCCTCCCCTGTTGACAGCCACACCATTCGCGCCCCCAGAAATATCTGCACCTTCATTTGGTGTCTTGATGTTAAGCGCACTTCATAAGGAAATGTCGGAAAGATTTAAAGCCTTGCTAAAAATCTTACCTTTTTCTCCACGTAGTCGGCCCAGAACCTGGCATGGGCACGCTCGTAAGGATCCGATGGCAGGAGAGGAGACTCGCAACCCCAGGTCTCGTCGATGTACTGGATTATGATGAGGGACTCGCAAACGGGCTTGCCCTCGTGGATGAGGACAGGGATTTGATTGTGTACTGGGTTCATCTTCAAGAGCAGGGGGCTCTTGTTGCTCAGATCCTCCTCCCTCAGATCGAACTCCACGCCCTTCTCTCTCAGGGCAATCCTGGCCCTCATCCCGAACAGGCTTGGCCAAAAGTCCAACAATATCACTTCCTCTGCCATTGAGAAATGTCGCTACAAGCTGAAGTTTGGTAATTTGAACAGAACTGAAGAATGCTTTCCGTGGTGAAATCAAGCTAAACGCAGGGTGCCACTTATGTATAGGGAAAGGAGAAAATATTTAGTAGTATCAGCGTGCCACATCAATCGCTGACGTGGCGCGCATTTGCCTAATTGGATCCATTTAGAGGCTGACACGTGACGAATGTTTAATAATGAAATAAACACATCTGAAAATTGGACTGCTGTCCATAAATGCTTATAGCAGCTTTTTGCAGCAAACAATTTGAACTCCCCGCCGAGAAGGGAGAGAGAGTTTCTCCTTCTTCCTTCCAATGCTTTTCTTTTCGGAGGAGAGAGAGTTTGTCCTTCATCCTTCCAAGAGTAGCTCATGCGTCTCTGTTTTCGCTTAGAATCGGACTCCTTCGTCTTCGCTCGACCACAGCCTCAAAGACTTCCATTTTCGCGAGTGCCGCCGCTCGAAGATCTCCACTTTCGCAAGGACCGCCGGTCGACTGTCACTTCGAAGACCTCCATTTTCGCGAGGACGGCCGCTTTCACTTTCTTTCTGGTTGCTTTTTTTTTTTTAATCATTTTTATCCTCAGCACAAGATTTTCTCATTAACGTCCTCCAGTCTTTAGTGGCGGACGCAGAGCAACAACCCTCGTCGTAGAGATTTATGCATGTGGACTTTCTCAGAGATTCTTTCTTTCCTAGTTATTTTGCAATGTGATGCCATGAACTGTTTGTTGTAATCTTCTGATAGATATTAGTGAGGTTTCTAAATTATCCGTGTTGGATCAGTGGTTAAGGAGTGGGCTTGTATGTGTGGAAGCTATAGCACGGTCTGTGTTCTCCGCATGTTCAAATAATTCAATGTTCAAGCGTTCATGGGTTTGGGTTTGTGCACATCGATGCCTTTCTCTTAGTCTGTTTCACTACTTGGAGCATCCAACGTTTCAGTTTTGGATTAAGCATCACGTCTTATTCATAAGCCAGCACTTGTTAGCACAGATTAGCTCAAATTTATGTGAGTAAATGATATATCATTAACATTGATCACAGGGAAGATGGAGTTTTTGTCTGTCTTAGCAGCCAATAATAGCTATTCTTTGTAACGTGAGTGCTGCATTTCCATGTAGCTGTTTGTTGATAAAATTTCTGTCCTTTAAATTTTGGGTTATTTCTGTTTGCAGATGCAAGCAAGAGTTATTCAAGAAGTTATGATCATATATTAATAACCATTGACTCAATTTCATCCCTGATCACGCCAATTATTGGCAGCAGTGGTTCGCAGGGTACACACTCTTGAATGTATGCGCAGTTTCCATGTCTTCTAAAGCACTGGACTGATATGTTTTATGTATATTATGCCTCGACTTGCAATGTAAGATGTCAAGGGATGAACAAAGAAATCTTCTCCAAACAAAAACAGATCCTTGAAAATCTGATGCATCAATTGCTTCCACGTTCAACTTGCTTGCTAAAGGAAGACTAAACAAGCAAATTGTTTTTGGGGTCAATCCTGCACAAAAGAGTATTAGAATTACTTCGTGTCTTTCTAATGCTTATATGCATTTTTAGAATGGAATACCGCATATAAATAAGCTAAAAGAATTGATGGAATCATTCTATCACATTAAATAAGCAGTTCGATTGGTGGAGTGTCCTTTGCAATTACATACAAATGTCAATCTTCACAATGCTCCTTTACTTTTGTTTGCTTTTTGTCCTTTTTCGCACTCCAAATCTCTTACAAATTGCATAGCATTGTATGCATTATAAGTTTCATCTTCATTAACAAATATCATGCCAATTCTAAATTCAAATTCTCCATCAATATTACATACGATGATATCTTTTGAAACCTTTAGAATTTTAAGAAAAGAATCTAATCGTTAATATAAAGCAAATACAAATTTAATTCTAAAAGGATAAGGTCATAGCCATTTCTCCTTAGAACAAGGCGTTGTTGGAAGTGAATCTCAAACACGAGTTTTGCGATCCACCCGTATTGGGTTTCTCACGGTTACACAGAGAGGCATTCAATCCTCGTTTGGCCTCGAGGATTCCATTCCGACCAAAGCATCTAACACAATGCCTCGACTTTCAAGCAAATCGTGAACCATTCATCTCCATATTATTGCCCACAGTGTTATCATTAACTAAGCAAGACTCAAATTGACTAAGCAAACACAAACCGGAAAGAAAAAGGGAACTTTAGAATAGCTCTGCAACCGCCGCACTCATAAACAGAGTAATCGGCGAGCTCCAGCAATAGATTCTCGCACTTGGCACACCGAACCAGCTGAACTTTCTCCGCGTTCTCCATTCAAAGACAAACCTCTGAGAACCAGAGCGACAAGTCTAAGCAAAAAAATAAAAAGCTTCTTTTATTATATGTGAAAAAATCAGGGGGACAGAAGGTCATTGGGTTGGATTCCTAAGGCCTCCCTCTCAGTGCTCTCTAATGTGAGCTTATTATATGGGAGAAAATACAAAGCTTCTCCTCTAGATTTTCACCTTAAATACTTCCGGCGGTCTTCAGAGCGGCGATCAAGCGGCGGTCTTCGTGAAAGCGGCCGTCCTCGCGAAAATGGAGGTCTTCGAAGTGACAGTCGACCAGCGGTCTCTGCGAAAGTGGAGATCTTTGAGCGGCGGTACTCGCGAAAATGGAAGTCTTCGAGGCTGCGGTCGAGCGAAGACGAAGGAGTCTGATTCTAAGCGAAAACAGAGACGCATGAGCTACTCTTGGAAGGATGAAGGACAAATTCTCTCTCCTCCGAAAAGAAAAGCATTGGAAGGAAGAAGGAGAAACTCTCTCCCCCTTCTCGGCGGGGGCGTTCAAATGTTTCGGTGCAAAAAGCTGCTATAAGCATTTATGGACAGCAGTCCAATTTTCAGATGTGTTTATTTCATTATTGAACATTCGCCACGTGTCAGCTTCTAAATAGATCCAACTAGGTAAATGCGTGCCACGTCAGTGATACTGCTGAATATTTTCTCGCAGGGAAAGAGAACGTTGATGATGAGACTTTTTGTTCGTTGCACTGTGCTGTGGGAGAGGCGGCTCAATGTCGTCATTTTTTGCGTCACTCTCAGGTCCAAGTCTAGTCTCCATGCCCGGGCTGATTAGGTCTTGACTTAGGTGTCCCACGAATGACAAATATATTTCATTTTCCATTTCTCATTGTTTATGTACCTAGACACAATCAGCTCGTCCTTGACTTTTTTTGTGGCTGACATTTTCCAAATTTTTGGAAACGTATAAGCCTCGGAACATATTATCCACAAGGATGAACTCGACTCTATCCCCATATAAACTCTTAAAACTGTCTTTAACATCCATATGTCGATTCTGGCGATACATTTCCCATTGATATCTTCAGCAGTAAACAGTAAGTTTGCAGAGAAAATTGCAGAGGACTGTGCAATTAGGTGCTTAGGAACTGAATGGCATCCCCTTTCAGTTATTTAACTCAAGACTTGTTCCAGAGTCCTGCAAAACTAGTTCCTTTTCGAAAACCTTTCAGTGGCAAGAAGCCGTCATCGATTCACTAAATGCCCCTTTTTCCAAGCAATGTGCTGTTTTCATTGAAAATGTAAACCGGAAGGAAAAGTTCTTCAAAGATACCTAAGAAACACCACAGGAAAACAAAAATGCTAACTAGAGAACAGGGGATTTACAAATTATTCATTCTTATAAGAAAAGTCACTCGATTGACCAATTAAATCGGAAACAAAGTCTTGCGAAGTGTCTGTCATAGAAAAACAGCAATAGTACCAAATAATTTCAAGAAAAATACCTGCAAACAAGAAACAGTCTCCCCCAAATCGCTTGGTAGTGCATCGAGAAACACTTTCACGATGCCTAGGTAAATCTGTTGTCCAACTGACATATAGCAGTTACAAGATTTTGCCAGCAACAGTCATCCATCCCAAACAATTATACTGGTACAACACACCTGCTCGAGCACGTAGCACCTCAAATGCATTTTCATCATCATTTAGACCTCCTCCAGTGTTCGCTTCACTTTAAATTTCCTCATAGAAATTCATTGTATGTTTCTTAAATATATCGTGTGTGTCTATGCTCGCACGTGTGAGAGAGAAATAAAGAATCACGGCATACTTTTAGCCAGCCATGGGAGGCGGCTTAGTAACTTGAGTGAAATTCATTCGTCGAGTGAATGCTCAACGTATGCTAAATAGATTTGTTTTCTTTGAGAGGATTTGTCATCAAAAACATTTTGAAAGAGGAGAAATTCTCTCGCGACACTACGTGTAATTGACGACCGAATTGATCGATTTCCAATGTTCATTTGACGTACACAGCGCAAATAACGCAAAACATAATACTAAACGGAATTCATGAGATGGTGTATATATTATATAGCTGATCCAAAAACACTGTGAAGTACAAAGAGGAAATCATAGAAGTACAAAAGACCCAACCTCTTTCATAGGAGAGGGGTTATTGAACGAAAGAGTAATGAAACGAGCAATAATCAGACTTAGAGAGTTGTTTATTGTGCCTGAAGCTTCTTCCTGAGCTCCAAGAGGAATTCATAGAGCTTGTACTGGTCGGGCAACGACTTGGCCACGCTCTCCCTCTGCATGCAACGCTTGGCCCATGGCACCAACTTGGGACACTCCTCCTTGATGCTAAAGTTGGCCAATGTCTCCAAACCATAGAACCAGCTATAGAACGGTATTAGCAACACATCCACATACCCGAACCTCTCACCGCCAAAGTAAGCCTTGTCCCCGAGCTCTCCCTCCAACACCTTCAAGCACTCGATGAACTTCTTCTTCCCCGCCTCCTGGGCCTCCCCTGTCGACAGCCACACAATTCGCAGCTCCGGATAGAACTGCACCATCATTTCGTGTCTTGATGTTAAGCGCACTTAATAAGGAAATGTTCGAAAGATTAAGGCATTGCTATCTTACCTTATTGTCCACGTAGTCGGCCCAGAACTTGGCACAGGCATGCTCGTAAGGATCAGAAGGCAGGAGAGGAGACTCGCGACCCCAGGTCATGTCGATGTACTGGACGATAATGAGGGACTCGCAAATGGGCTTGTCGCCATGGATGAGGATGGGGATTTTCTTGTGGACCGGGTTCATCTTCAAGAGCAGGGGGCTCTTGTTGCTCAGATCCTCCTCCCTCCATTCGAACTCCACGCCCTTCTCTCTCAGGGCAATCCTGGCCCTCATCCCGAACAGGCTCGACCAAAAGTCCAACAATATCACTTCCTCCGCCATTGAATTGTCAGTACAAGCTGAGGCTTTTGTAATTTGAACAGAACTGAAGAATGCTTTTCGTGGTGAAATCAAGCTAAACACAGGGTGCCGCTTATATAGAGGGAGAGAGAACTCTGATGATGAGACTCTCTGTTCGCGTCACTGTGTGGTCCAAGGCGGCTTGATATTGTCATTGCGAGAGGAGGCTTAATATTGTCATTGCTCGCATCACTGCGACAGGCGGCTCAATAATGTCATTGCGAGAGGCGGCTTAATATTGTCATTGCTCGCGTCACTGTGTGGTCCAAGGCGGCTGAATAGTGTCATTGCGAGAGGCGGCTCAATATTGTCATTGCGAGCGTCACTGTGTGGTCCAAGTCTAGTCTCTGGTCTCCATGCCCGAGCTGGTTAGAACATGGCTTAGGAGTCACATGGACGAGAAATATATATTGTGATAGATGGGCCTAACAAGTACAAGCCCATGTCTCCTTTAAGCCGAACTCAACCCATCTTCTTTCTTTCCTCCTCTAGATGATTCACGCGAGCAACGTACAAAACAAGGAAATGAAAATAGAAGGAGCACGTCCGTGAAGAGAGGAAAAGGGGAAAAGAGAGAGAAAATTTTCTATGTCCCAACAAAGTCGAATTAACTCCAAAGACAGGTAAGTATTCAAGCCTATTATTCGTCTAATTGGAGTAATTTTTGAAGTTATGTCGTAAATCCAAAGTTATATCAATTTTAAACTGTGAGGTTCAATTGAGGAAGTGTCGAGCTGTGGATATGTATGGAAATGATAGTTGAGGACATCGTGAAGTTGTAGGTTTAATGAAAATCGATTCTGAAGTACAATTTGATCGGAACGAATTTCTAAAATTTCGCATGCGAGTTACACGTAACGAACAATACATGTAACGGGCAAAGATGAATGTACGTTATAAATGGGTTCCTTTGTTAGTGCGTAGAATTCATTTTATCGACGATTAAGCGTAATTTTGTCGAGTTGTTCGTTAGAGTAGGGTATTACTCGGTTTTTGATTTTTTTTTTTTTATTAATTGATAGGATTATGAGTGCGTCAACTTGAGTAATCATCGTAAGTTGGTTTTCAACTTTCCCAGGTGAGTGGTACTATCTTTTTATGAATTTACAAACTTCTATCTTGAAAGTGGTAGAGAGTAAATATAGTATGAGTTACGAAAGAGCATAATTTTTGCATAAATTGTATTGAAATTTTATTACTTTTTTAGTCGGTTGAAAAGGCATTGGAAAGCCTTATGTGAAATAGTTTGAAATGATCATTTGTGAATTTTTTGATTAAATGTTTTGTGAAGGGAATTGCCCAAAGCTATATGCATTGATTTGTTAAATGTTATACGAAATGCATTCTATTTGATAAATGTAATTGTGAAAGGTTATATGATTCGGTTTGCAAGTAAGTTATGGATTTGTTTTGTGGGTATTGGAGAATGATATTGGGGATTATGCTCACGTCACTATGATTAGAACCCACTGAGGGAGTAAGTGTGCATACTACTATCAAGACGTCCTTCTGGACTAAACCAGATATAGGTGAAAACCTAGCCAATGGGGTAAACATGGTCGTCTTTGTCGATGGAATGGACCATCGACATTGATTTGATTGAGATTAATCAATGGAATAAACCATTGATAATTGATATTGTTGATTGATATTATATGTAAAAAGTTTTGACGAAAAGATATCATTCACTTTTGATATTTTACGTACATTATATTCAAGGTATAGAATTGGTGAGTTGTGATATCGGTTATAAAAATGTACAGTGAATGCTCAATTTGCTTAAAAGAAATGTATTACTCATTGAATTATTGCTCATTCAATTCATCTTACTTGCTTTTCAGATTCTTCAGCGAGTCATAAGTAGGATTGCTTTTCAGATTCTTCAGCGAGTCATAAGTAGGACGAGAGCATTATCGTTATTAGGAAAGACATTTTGATAGTGAGAATTTTTTTGTATGAGTTGTATATCACTATGTTGAACTTTTAAAATAGCTTTTTGTTCGAGTTGTATATATCTTTTTGATAGATTATGGAAACTTTAATCCTATAACCAGATGACTTTTTATTATACATACATATATATATGAATGTATATGTTTCCATATTATATATATATGAATGTATATGTTTCGATATCAGGTTGAATTATGGTTACCTTTGAAGCTCGCCGTGTCATTCTCATAGAGTTGGGGGTGTGACATATATTACATATATAATTATTATTAGTTCGCCTGGTAAATGCTTCGTTCCTTTTGGTGCTTCCAGTTCTAAACTGACTGAAGATAACTTCTGATTAAAGTTGGAACATGTACTTGCTCACCATATGTTCAGGTTGAACAAAATGAACTTCACAACTTCACTGGAAAGTTAAGATTACAACAACCGATGAATTAAAACGCAGAAGCTGTCGAGAATAATGAAGTGGTGGGTGGGACTTAGGGTCCTTCCTTGCCAAATCAGGGAACGTATAATCCGGTCGGCAATTTCCCTTCTGGTATGTTTCTTATTCTTACTTTCTACTTTCATATCAGTTCCTGATCCTTCCGGAAGAGAAACGCTTCATCACTTCATCCGGAAATGCATTGTATCTACATAACAACCATTGTTCTTGCATCGGAATTGACTCGACTTCTTTGCATTGGAGAGTTGTTGATTTCTTTGTAGCTGACATTTTCCAAAATTATGGACACAATATAAGTCTCAGAACACATTATCATCCCACGCACACAATCATGAACTCGACATGATAGTCGGAAACTCTATCCCCATATATAACTCTTTTAACCCTCTTTAACATCCGTACGTCAATTCTGATGATAAATTTCCATTGAATATCTTCAGCAGTAAGCAGTAAGTTTGCTTAACATGCTCAAGAAAAATACCTATAAACAGGAAACAGTCTCCCCAAAAACTCTACTGCAAAAAAGAAAACTGCAGTACCTTGAAAGTGGGACCGTTTGCTTGTCCATCTAATGCTATCCGTGGGGGATACCTCCAAATCGCTCGGTAGTCAATCGAGAAACACTTTCACAATGCCAGGGTAAATCTGTTGTCCTACCGACATATAGCAGTTACAGGGCACCTATTTAACAAAATCAAAATATAGAGATAAACATAAAGCAGCTTTAATAACTAATCACAGGGTTTTGCCAGCAATAGTTATCCATCCCAAACAATAATACTGGTACAACGCTCGCAGACGCACCTGCGCGAGCACATAGAACCTCAAATGCAACATCTTAGTATAACTGCACTGTAACAAAAAGAAACTACTTCCACAAGAGGGGAGAGTCGACCAACAATTTACTCAAAATGGGAAGGTCAGCAGAACAATAACCTCAAGGTAGGGGCCGGCCACATTTTAATGGAAAAATTGATAAGCATCCACAAAATGAGAACTGTTTACGGTCAAAAAGCCTATTGTACAGGATGAATAGAATTGCAACTTCTCTCTCACTAGCATCGCAAATATCCAGAAAGCAAAATTTCGTCCAATCCGACACGGCGTCTATTTTCCAGATTAACTGTTCCTTCACCAACAAGAACAACAGATGTCACCATAGGCAGGTATCAATTGAATGTGACTTATCTGGTTGCCTGCACTAGCTATCAAAAAATGGTCTAGTATAGTGACACCCCTTAGTTATAACCCGTAGTATCCACAGGAATGGGAACACATTACCATCCGGTTTATAGAGGAGGCCCACTGGCAGAAAACTGTGAGGCCATCGCTTCCCATGAACATAACAGTACCAACTACACCAATTGTATCAGGTCTTAAAAGCTCTCAGTTCGTGCATAATCCTGTGGACATAAAACTGCCTCCTCATGTCATATAACGCATGGATCCAGGCATGGCTATGATCCTTTTTCCTGGCTAAATGATCGGAGACGTCCAATTAATTTCTCTTTCAATGATTCTGGAATTTGTGAGTTAAAGGTTGGTTTGGCATCCGCAATCAACAGCTTCCTGTGTGACAATGATCTATGTTAGAAAATTCAACAAAAAAATTTAAAAATATCAGGTGGAAAAGGCACAGTAAAACCGTATAAACAACCGATGGATAATGCTTTAATACCCCTTTCACATGCAAACTGGAATAGCACATGATATTGACGAACGAGGAATTAAACAAACAGAAATCCACATGTAAAACGAATAATTAAATGGGGCATAAACAATATTAGAAAGTCCAACTCAAATAAACCATTAGGTGGGAGACTACAAGCATAAAAGGCACAAAAAAAAATCCCTGTAAAGAAGCAATGTGGAGCACTTTCACGATCAAAATTTTTTTTATTATAGGTGAAAGAAATATTACTAAAAGGCACTAAGGGCGTGCAAACCCATATGCAAATCTAAAACAGATTAAAGGAATTCCATTTTGGTTCTTGGTGATTCTTTTATTAGTTTATTTATTTTCTTTGAGGGCGAGGGGAACTTAAATATATTAAAAAGTTGACTCCATAGCCATAGGAAGTAGGAAATTGCAAAAATATATCAAACTCCACTTAAAGAGAAAGAATTAAAAAAGAGCTATCAATGAATCACCGAAAGGCCCATATTTTTCGACAAAATACAACCCAACAAATGAATGGTCTCTCTTCTGCGACAATTAATACTAAATTCCGCTTGCACATGGAAGTGCCTTAATAATTAGTTCTGCACCCTATTAATATATTAGCAGTAAGAAAGCCAGATAAGTCACAAATTGATGCACACTAAGGCCCAAAATCTAATAACTCAGTTTTGTTTTTCAAATTAACTTCATTAATATAAAGTGATCCAGTCAATAAGTTAGCAAGTCGATATGTGTCGTAGTATTTTCATCATCATCAAATTTGGGTGGTGGAATAGGATTCTTCTTCTAGTCGAATTAGTAGTTTTATCGATTAGGTTTAAGTATCATTAAGATTTACATTATTCCTATATTAAGTAAGATATTGTGCTTCCTATATAGATGTTTCCACTACATAAATTACGTTTCTTGCTTATTTTCTATTTCATTTAGTAGTACACTATACTAGGAAGAGTCTGTAAGTATCATTGCAATTCTGTTTTCTCTACCAAGTTTGACTTATTGAATTTAGGAACTCTTTTATTTTCAAATTGTGTGATGCAATTCTCCTACTAAGTGTATGCATTAGGAACCCTACTTGTGATGCCTACAGAAATTTAATTGTTTTGAGTTATCTATCCTATATTTCTCCTCAAGTTTTCAATCAAATTGGGCTCACTACTAAGGGACCCGTCATGCTCAAGTCAGAATGTCAGTGTCTCATAATGTAGATTTGAGTTTTCACATGTCATTTGGGAATAAAATTCCATTTACATCAAATTGGGTGCTGGGCTGACAGAAATTCAGCATAAGTGATATGCTTTTTGGACAATAAAATCTTCAATCACTCTCTCCAATGGCATGGACAAAATAGTGTCTCTCTCCATGTGGAAAAAGGATAATGACCCGCAGAATCATGCATCAAATGGGAAACATTCACCCAATCAATATCCATTAGAGCAAAACATAACCTTCAATATCAAAGTTTCAATGATATTGATGACAGTTTAACCGACACTCGTCAAATGTGTTGTGACGTGTGAAACTTCAGTGCCTTCTATTGGAAGTATCCCCCACGCAAGAAAAGAAAATGATCGCGGAAGTTGATTATCCTATTTCCAAAAGATGTACAATGTAACTCCAAAGAAGTTCTACACCCATGCATTCCATGGAGAAAAGTAAAACTGCTCACGTACGGAAGAAGAGAAAGAGAACTCACCTCAAATGGTCAAAATTTAGTGAACTCTCGTCTGCTTTGCTCGCGCACATTTTCTTCTTCGTGCGCATGACAGCGTAAACGTCATCCGCCCAGCCACATGATCGCAATACAGAGGAAGCTTCATTCTTGAGTCTGAATTTACAAGAAAAATAAATAAAAGATTAGCAGAAGCCAAATTCGATAGCAGAGTCTACCACCAAATAGAAGACATTATCTAAAGAGAACTGTTTTGCAAGACAATAATTTAGTAAATGTAAACAAACATAGATACAAGTTTTGGCCCCAAAACACTGACGGAAAAGCCCATCGACAGAGTTGTGAGAGAAAGAGTAATGACAATGTGTCAACCTTCAACAAAAGTAAACCTTGGGGGCCTGAAAGAGTTGTATATAAAGGTAAATCCTCATGATCCTTAATCTATCACACACATGGAAACATAAAGGAACATCACAAATAATGCAAGAGACCAGATTCACAACAAACAATAGCATGTTTTATACATAAGCATCGGGAGAAAAAAAACTGAAATTAGCTAACTTGACCCATCATTAATTATGATTGCACAAAAGTAATCATAAATGACTAAAACTGACTCGAATAGATTCGAACATACATTTCTTTCAGCTCTTCAACTTTGGCCTGCGATTGAGCATCCTGTGCCAGCAATATGCAGGAGTCATCCTGCAGCTTCCTCTTGGACTTCGCTACATCAGAGAGGTGATTAGAACTACCATTTTGCAATTCATGCTGGTTAGACCCTCCCCCTTTTCCTAAGACGTGCGTTGTACCATCCCTCTCATGGAGATGTGATTTAACTGAACAGGGGCCAGCAGTACCAACGGTGGTACCATTTCCATTGTGGGAAGAATGAACTTGACCCTTGTCACCATTAAGATCGCTGACTTTCAAATTGTTGTGATTTGAATGCGCAATTACTTGGGTCCTCCCATTGGAGGTGTTCTTATTCTCTTTGTCAATATCATTCCTGTTTATTGAAGTTGAAAGATCTCTGTCACTCTTGTTAACAGGAGCTGGCCCTTTTATATCCCCGTTATTTTCCCCCAATTGATTCTTAAGTGCGTGCACCTTTCCATTGCTAACTGCAGGAACTCTTTTGGAACCAATATTTCCAGCAATGCTGAACTTCATCCGCGGACAGGAAGATACTTTATCACCATTGGATGAGGCAGAAACATCCTTCCATGAAGAATTTTCAGTGAATGGTTTTAATTGTGCCGGTTTTGATGGAAGAGCAGAAGACTGCTTCTTAGATGCTTTGGTGCCATTCAAATCACGAGATTTTACTCCATTGGCAGCAGGAGCTGCATTGGCAGATGTTGACCTTTGTTTGGTGCGAGAGAAAAACAGGATATAGACCTTTTCTGATAAGACCTCATCCAAAGTGGCCAGAGAAACACTTGCATCGTCACAGCAATACCACCGGCCCACTGCGTCCTGTTTCCATATAGCCGATAGTGAATGATCGAAAATTTACAAATAATAGTCTTAAAAGGACAAAAAGGATTAATGAGGCAGACCTTTATATAAGCATAATAGTGTCCTGAGTCTGGTGAGCAGCCTGCATGCACAATAGTACCAAAAAGATTATACTCCGGTGACGAATCCTGCACAAAATCCCAGTCATCACGTGTCGAAAGGCAAGTTATTGAAGAAGATAAAATGCGCACAAAAGAGTAATGACACCAGAGAAGAAAGCAAACGAGGCTATTCCAGAGCACAATTTACAAGTAACAACCAGGAGAAAGTCATATGCTGATACTTCTCAAATGAAACCACCACAATCAGGAAGCAGCACCCATGCAAACCTTGAGAATTCTCATTTCTCATGAATCGGATATATTGTTTGGTTCTTTCTTACAAGTAAAGAGAAACTACCATAGAGCACCAAGGGGATGCGAACCCACATACAGAAAGAACTTGAACCAAAAAGAGCTCAGTTACTGGGACCGACATTTACAACATCAATCATAACATTTACATCCACATGTAAGTCTACACTATAAGATAAGTGTAAGACTTTCAGCCAATCCACAATACTCACAAAAACAGTTCTCTCCTCTCTTTCAAAGGCTCACTCGTTCGCTCTTTCCAATCAACCAAAAAACAGAGAGACATTGAATCCCATAATTCTTGTCTAGATCCTCCTATAGACCAAGTTAGCCCCACGCAAGTATAAGAAGCCACCCATAAGGCCATAACATTCTTGCCAAGAAATCATGTATTGACCAACACGTCCCCCATTCTTGCAAATTACCTGGGGCGAGAATAAGTTCCCTAATTGCTTCCCTAGCAAAAACAGAGACTCTAGTAGGTGCTCATGAATCACGTAAATCATTTGATATAGAGACAGCATTAACCCATACACGCTATTTTTTTCCGAGCAATCCACATGTTATGTCATAGTGATTTTGTCCATCCCATCATTGGTCCTCCAACAGATATCTTAACCCTTATCAGGATACATAAGGTAGCATTTTCTCGATCTTGACAGGAGAAACAACTTAACTAGAGAGTACCTCTGACACTAAACAAGAATATCCTTATCTTCCCATCTATTCCTCGAAATCTTTTTAAGTTGATTAAATTAAAATATCTGGTTACATGGAAGCAAATAGAATGCCAAAAAGTTAATCGCGTTTACCTAAAGATCTTCTTCTTTTTTGTTAAACATACAGGATGCACCTGAAACAATGCCTATGACATAGATATCTATCTGTGCCTGAACTGTGGAGATTAAATTCCACACGATTTCTATTGCTAAAGCTGTAGCCAAGAAAACAATCCGTTAGTCAACTTCAATTTCTTTTACTCTATCAGTGGCTCCGGTGATGCAAGATAAATACTACAGATCACAGAAACAGATAAAAGAAAGGAAAGCACAAAAACCAGATCAGAAAAGAAATACTCCCAAAGATAACTACAGGAGACCCCGAGAGGGCAATGTGGAAATACCTGGCTTTCTTTGCACATGAAGCTTGAAAGCACCAAAACTTCTTCAAACGAAATAGCCTTATCGATCTTCCCACCATATATACCTTCGAACCTCTTTGCAAATCAAATAGACGACGACGACTACGTAAGCCACCACACAACTTCATTGACGACACAATTAACAACAGTAAACATGCACAGTTAAGCAACGACATACCTTAAACTGGATTACAAGAACATTAGGTGCTTGAAAGACCGACATTTGCTTCCTAGCCACAACCAATTTCTTGCAACTGAACAAGCACGAGTATCTGATTTAGAATACAGAAGTGGAGTTCATCGAGGTAAAATTCAAACTTCAACTCACTTACTTCTCACACTTGTACTTATTGTTGCCATCCAAAACTTCTGGCTGGAAAAATTTGTGCAACGCTTCCTTAAGTGAACTACTTTGCAAGACATCTAGACTAATATCCATAATATCATCAACCTTGTTGGATTCCGCTCCGCAAGACAAACACTTGACCTGACTCTGCAGCGCGCCGCCAAAAATCTCCTTAACAACGGAATCACCACAGTTGGGTGCCTCGGCGCCGTTGCGCTGCTGCTGCCGCAGCTTCTTGAGGCGGAGACAGGTGTTGTGGCAAGCATCGATCACGTAACGGAGGAACTCGTGCGCGTCCTCCTGGCGACCACACCGGAAGTGCTCGGCGTACAGGCGCAAGCAGCCCTGGATCTTCGCCGGCGCATCTTGGGGTTGATCTAATCTCAGAGATCGCGCTATCCGCTTCTCTAGTAAACAGAAAGGACAATCTCGCTTCCGCTCCACATCCGCACCCGAATCGCCTGCAAAAGAAGGAAAAAAAATTACCGAAATTCCCCCCGAAATCAAAACTTTCTCCGTCCCTTAGGGCAAAAGACGAAAACGACCCAAAAAAAGAGCGACGAAATTCCAATCCCTAACGCCACGAACGCCAGAGTTCGTCAAATCAGCTAAAAGAACAGAGCCGACGGGAACGAGACGGCGCGAGCGAGCGAGAGGAAGGGAGGAGGGGGAAGGGGAGCGTACATAGGGAGGAGTGGAGGTTCTTGAGGCAGAAATTGGCGAGGGGAGGGGTGTAAGTGAGGCACTGGAGGACGCTGTTGAGGTAGCAGGAGTTGCCGAGGTTCCTGAGGCCGAGAGGGGGACCGGTCTTGCGCTTGAGGCTCAGCAGGCTCGGTTGCCAGCTCATCTGCAACCGGTGGTGGTGCAAGGCCATCAACGACCTTCTCCGTCTGCCTCCTCCGCCCTCGCACGCGCATTGCACGGCGGCGCCCCGCGCAGGCCGCTCGCTCTAATCGCCGATCGCGGCCGCGATCGCGCTCGCATCGCTCCCGTCGGCCCTCGTCGCCGTCCTCGTCGCCGTCGCCGTCGAGACAGACAGCGCTCTTTCTCAAAGCCTTTGGAAAGAGAGACGAAACAGTGGGTCTTTCCTTCGCCTCGCCTCCAGGCTTTAGGGGGGTTGGGGGCTAAAAAATTATCCCACGCGGTCGTGACTAGGATTACCGTCCACCTCTATTATTTATTTATATATATATAACGAAAAATTGGCTTCGCTTTTTCTTTTTTCCCTCTTCATTTTTGAGCTTCATAATCATAACTCCATTATCATCCTCCTCTATGAAGCCAAAAAATATATATATAGAAAAGGATTTACAGTACTTCGATTTTCAATGGCGAGATTTTCCGATGAATATGAAATATTTCTTCCTAAATAAGGTAATCGGCAATTTTTCCTCGACCGTCAGTTATTCCGATGAGAAAGTTAACGGATTTTTGAAAATGCTAGCTGGTTAATGGAACTCGAACAATCGAAACGTAACATTGGCTTAATAGTCCATTGCCAAAAAAAAATTAACTGCGCTCTCTATTTATCATGCGTATTTTAATGGGCCGAGTATGTTCTTTTATTACATTATAAACCGTTAAAAATATTATGCGTCTTTAATTAATTTACTTCCATATAATTTCACGGAATAAATAGAGCTTATTTAACGTCTTGTTTATTGTAACATGACTATGGCCGGAGTTTTTGAACATCTTATAGGATAAGATAATAACGATGTACTTCTATATCAATTTTGGATTTTTTTTCATACCTTGCAACAATATCCAGGCTTCTATAAATATCACGGAAAATGTTTTCGATAAAACAATAGATTTTTTGAATAATAGATAAAAGAGCAACTTTTCTTTTTTTTTTTGTCTTTTTCTTAATATCCCCTTCTTAATCAAATTATTTTTTTATTTTTTTTATTTTTTTTGCTTTTGTTGGCCTGAGTTTCACGGTTTGTTCGATTTTCTATGTGGACAATGATTAGGACCGGACCAAAAACTAAACACAGATTCACCAATGAGTCAAAAATGGCAAATTCGTTATATTTCTTTTTAACCGACCTCACGTAGCATCGATATCCAGAAAATTAATTGGATAAAGGATTTATATCATTGCCAGTTTTGTACGGGCCCCGACATGGATTGTGCTATATATTGAACTACCACAAAAGAATGTCAAAAAATGATAAGAGATTTACCTTCTATTTTTCGCGGATTTTTTTTTCTATTTTCTTGCAGTTTTCGATCAATCGGCGGAATCAGATTGCTCTGGGAATTGACCGACTTTTGTCAGCTGCCAAATGAGGAAAGAATTAGCGATTAAGGAAGAATCCGTACATTGACGCCCCCTTTTCCTTTTTGCCTTTTTTCTTTTTTTGGGTTTGGATAAGTATCGTATTACGAAAGTTCATCCAATTAGAATCTTCTCCATCATAAATTTGTCTTGTCCGTAGTTTTGATTGGAGATGTACATTTGCATAGGATAAGCTTGGTCAATGACGATACCGAATATGGTAAACCCAATCATGGCTCTGGCAATTACGGACCCCCGCTCAGGCCAAATTAGACCACGGAGCATCACGAGAATGGTGAAGCTTGTCTCGAGCATGGAAGCATCACTTGACTTCAATCAGATTTTGGAAATCGATGAATAAATGAAGAACTTTTGAGCGAGTGGTGGTGGTCTTTCTTTCACGCTGTCAACAGCGTTCTTGCGTAAAAATACTTTTCAATAGGCAGACACTATCAAGCATCGGTGGCACCATTTGATGTCCAAACATTTTTTTCATGATTAACAAAAATCTCAAATCCGTACCTGTGTGATACATTTACCATCCGTTAAAATTCTGTCAATAAGAATCGTTAAAAATCTGCCTACATGGATGCCGGAAAAAAAAACAGTGTTGACATGACGCTCACGTGACTTGAGTGAAATAAAAACGACGTTTTTGCTGAAAAAATCATCTAACGGAACCTTGACCGATGGTAAATATGTCACATAGGTACAAATTTGGATTTTTTTATGTCACAAGAAAAAATTTAGAGTAAACACGTCACGGTGAACATAACTTGGGGCTTTTTGTGGCTTTTTTTTTTTAATGAAGATTACATATTAATATACGAACAAGTACACGTAGGGTGGGACGACCACACTAGTAGGTGACGATCAGACCCTTCAAACCAGCCACAAAATTTTCTCGTCATTTTCCTTCCACAGCTCAAAATTTTGGGCCGGGCTAATGGGTCGGTCCTAAGCCTGATATGCGCTTGCGGAGCAGTCTCTTGGCCCAATGGGCTTGCTCGTAATTTTGGCCCGTTATTCAGCCGCATCATGCTCAAAAAATGTGAACAAAAAAAAATTTGAGAAAAATAATGAAAATGGTAAGCAGCCCGCCCCGAGAAAGTATCTCGACGGATACAATATCGATTAAAATCGAGGTGCATATACACAATTACACACACGCCATCATGTAAAATGAGATACACGGCGCGTGGAACATCACGTCATTACTGTCACGCGATTAAAAGAGTTTCCCGCACATGAAACACTTTCTCTTGCCTACTAGGCTGAGATCAAATTTCGACCTTAGAAATATTAAATCCAGCTTACATAATTTTTTTGGCCTCCGGTATGCACAAGACGGCTTAAATCGTTGGCAAAATTTGTTTCACACCAGATAAGCAATTATCATACTGCTCTATAAATTCATGTCGCAATACATAATGAAAATATCAAAAACATACATTACTTTTTATCAAATGACCACTTACATATCTCTACTTTTAAAAATACCAGATACATACTTAAGTTTCACTTTCGGAGACCACTTTTTATACCTTTACATCAATTATCCTTTTGATCCCATCCCAAAATTCTAAATTCTCTCGCCCACCCAAAACACTCAAAATCAATAGAAAAACAAAACCCACTACCCGATAGGCGTGGGCAGTGGCTTTGCGAGCCACCGTACAAGGGTTCATCTATCTCTCTTATTAAATTAGTGAAAGAGGGCTCGTCTGTAAATTCAATTCGAAAGAAAAGAATTATGTTTTCACATGTATTATCCAAGTAAGTCTCTTCTCCGGAGGGATGCACTTTGTTTTCCAACTTTCCTAGAAATTGGGAATGCAGGATTATGCATATCTTAATATCAACATTGCTTAATGATATCAATACGATCATAAGGAGAAGTTTTAAATTTGGAGTCCACTCGAAATTTACCGAAACATCCTTAAAATCTCTATATTCTAACAACAACAAAATCTAGATTGGTCATTTTCATGGGTTTGATTCGCTTTTTCAAGGGGCAGACACTTCAACTGTTCCGCAACATTCACCCTCTTGCATCATCCTGCCTCTTGTAATTGTAAACATTCACATCCTCAAAGGAATCGCCCACTTTCTGTTCACGCACGACCATCCGACTACACACGAGCGTAGCTCGTGTTTTAAAAGAAAATTACCAAATCAACTCTAAATCTATTGTATAATTTAGATTCAATCATAAACTCTCCAATTTTGTCAATGTAGACTTAAACTTTTTTTGCAAAATTCCAATGTAATCCTTTCGGTCAATTACCGCTAGAAATCGATAGCATGGCTTCCGGTCATTACCGGCTGTCCTACGTGTCATGCTGGCGTGGACAGCTTTACTTGAGATGACGTCCTATGTGGACCACGATGTCAATGATTTCTGACAGTAATTGATCGAAATGACTGCATTGGAATTTCGCGGAAAGGTTTAGGAGTACATTGACAAAATCGAAATATTTGGGACTGAATTGACATCTTTAAAATAGGTTTAGAACTGATTTGACACTTATTCCCACATGCTACAGTGTTGTACAAGGTATGGAGTGACATGTATATTAACACTTTATAAACCTGTGCATGCTTATTAGTAAACAGCCATCCTTTTGTTATTAGTGTACACATACATGTGTGTAGTTAGTGATCACCGCAATTTATTGATAATCTTTTTATTCGTTTTGACGGTGCAAACTACGACAATTCCTTTTTAGTTTGGGAAAATAACACAAATAGTCCCTGAATTTTGGCCTTAACGTGCAATATGGTCCATAAACTTTTAATTTAGACGATATGATCCATGAACTTTAACCCAATGTGTAATGTTATCCCTGAACTTTTAATTTGTTCAATACCGCCCCTAAACTTTTGGTACATGTTCAATTTAGTCCCTGAATTATATGAAAAAGTTTAATGTAGTCCTTCCATTAATTTAAGTCTAGGGACTACATTGAACATTTCCATATAGTTCAAGAATTATATTAAACATGTACAAAAAGTCCATGGACCACATTAAATATTAAGCTAAACTTCAGGGACCACATTAAATATTAAGCTAAACTTTAGGGACTACATTGAACAAATTATAAGTTCAACGACTATGTTAGAACTGTTTATGTCATCATCCGTTTTAGTTTCAATAATCAACCCTGACCAACACATTAAGGCTCAACACATTAAGGCTATGAGCCTATACACCTTGGTCGTACAAAGACTATATAACATGAATTATTGCCTTCGGTTGCATGGGCATATTACATTAATTATCATCCCTGCGTCAGCCAAGACGCTCCCATGCATTCTTATCCATATAAAATCAGTACGTACAAGACAATCTCTAAAACTAGGAGCTTCCCCTCTGTTCCTCTGATTTTAATTTTCCCTGGTCATCCTTCCATTCTTGAAAAGAAAACAAGGAACAATTAGACCAAAATTTTCGATTTTTTCTTTTTCGTTCGGAGACATGAATGATAATGAAGGAAGAAAACTGAGAAACACACAAAGGACGTGTGGTGGAGAGCAGCCCAATCGCCTTTGTTTGGATTTGGCTTCCAATGCTCACCTCCGATTGCTCATCCACTGCGCCTCGTAACTCACCATCGCTTGCTCGTAAACTCGGAATTATAAGGTGATGCATCGGCCCTACCGTTCTTGTCTCCTTCCTATCCATATTTATCGGCTTCACGTACGTTCTCTGTTCACTCCGTTCCTTCCTCTTTTTCACCCACTTCAGCTCGTCTCTGCTGGGTTCTCTGCTTCTGCATGCACTAGCTCCGCAAACCCAAGGTACTCAGTCCTCAACTCATTCCTCTCTTCTGG